TTTAAGTACTTTTCGACAGTTTGAAATTTTGATTTTCCAGAAGTCACCGCTTCGAATGTGACGTTCTCAACCTGCTTGCGATGACAGGTAACTCAGGACATTAGGCGACGACGGTGACATCATTCACAATTTCCACTAACCATTACCCCACTGTGTGTGTGGGTGGGTGTGTGTGTGTGTGTAACATCTGAACAGATGTAAAACTTCTTCATTTCTAATGATCTTACGTTTGCAGGGGGATGGAGAGGACATATGAGGCTCCATCCAACGAAGCTCCTCATATGATCCTAGGATATCACCAGGGACGCCTGGTGACGTACCTGCAGTTCGAATTTTTTCGGAATAGCAAGGGGCCAAGCTCAGAACCCCAACCACCATGTTACACAATTTGCTGCACTGTTGTCGCAATCTGGAATCAATTTTGGTCATTTATGATTAGTTCAGCTGCATCAGAACCTTCCTCAGTTTTTTCGCCGAAACCATGTCGCCGACAGTATTTTTGATTTTCTGAACTATTTCGCCGAAACCATGTCGCCGATGTATTTGGATTATTTTGTCAACACTACGTCGCCGATGTATAATTTTGACGTCGATTCTGAACACGAAGATCATTCAGAAGAACTTCTATTATTCGTAGGATGCATCGTTAATTTCATTGTTTCGTATCTAATCTGCATGTTTCAGGATTCAGTTCCTGCCGGATCATATAATGATCCATTCTTGCCTAGTGTGATTTCCATGGTGGCTCCGACATGGTGCCATGGAGCCATTTGAGGCAACCCTCTTTAGGGTGAGTGATGACTGTCCTGACTGCCGAATTAACACATTTTAATTTAGTAATTCATCTAAGTAAATCGCAACAGTCGGCCCTTCCGTTTTGCACCTTTTTGTGAAGTCCCGCGTTTCCGGCTGTCCTTTACACACCCAATAAAATACATCTCTTTTGAGTGAAGCCACTCCGAACCACCAAAACCTCATTTTTATTACTGCAGCTCGCACTTTTGAAGTTTAGCATTACATGTGAGACAACAGGCAACAGGCATGTCCTTTTCCTGCAGGTGTGGTCTCTTTGGTATTTGGTGAGGTGAAACATATTGTGCACCCAATTCGTTGGAACTTGAAAGCCGTTTATGCCTTTTATGGCTGACCTGAACACGGGCCTGGATTGGCACAACGCACGATTTCTAGGTTTAGGAACTGAATCCTGCTTGTGAAAACTTCTACATCGGTTCCTTTTCTCTCTCCATTTGAGCAATGTACCCGTGGACAACTCCTCCGACGTCATGGCCTACTCCGCCGCAGTCTTCACCTGCTTCTTCGACGTGGCCACAATCAACGCCGAGTGCACATTTATTTGGACATCCTTCGCCATTGCATCCTACATGGTCTTCGTCCTCTTCGCTCATGTCGCCTGCCTCAGCCACACCATCTTTGTCATTCGCATCATTGACCACAGCTCCTCATGCGGTACCATCTCCCCACCTCGTGCGCCAACGCGAATTGCTAATTTAACGCTGCTTCTGCGTGATGTATGTGGATGCGCGCGCGCAAACATGGCCGCCCTCCCCAGGAATCAACGTTGCCACTCACAAAAGCCAGTCTTGCTGCCTTTCGTGGTGTAGCTGCTTTGCAGCGTGCGGAAGTAAGCCAACTTTGATGTCTGGGGCTGGGGGTGCCGGGGGTTGCGCCGCAGGGTTCTGTACACTGCCGCTGGCGGTACGCATGTCTTTGCATTGCTTGTGGCACTCATGCTTGCTGCAGAACAGCACGGGCATCCCTACACCTTTTGAAACGTTATTTTTTGGCTTGCGCTGCGACGCGGGCCCATTTTTGGGGCTGTGGGCCTGCATGCTTTTTGCCTTCCTTCACTGCGTACCCTGCATGTGAAACCAGCATCCTGGCACCAAGCGCGAGAAAACATGAATGGAAGATGCAACCTGTCGCAGCCCAACACACTCTTTGCAGAAGGCAAAACGGGCCCAAAATTGATAAGCTGGGCTACTAATTTCAGTATTGTGGCCACATTTTGGGGTCCAGAATCTGGCCCCTGTTTTGGGGCCACAAAACACAAACAGGAGCTAGCCAATACGGGAGGCAAGTGTACTACTGCCGACGCAAGCTGACAGCAGCACATATCCGTGATACTGTGAAACCAGCATCCTGGCACCAAGCGCAAGAAAACATGAATGGAAGATGCAACCTGTCGCAGCGCAACGCACTCTTTGCAGAAGGCAAAACGGGCCCAAAATTGGGGCCACAAATTTGGAAGCTGGGCTACTCATTTTAGTATTGTGGCCCCATTTTTGGGTCCAGAATCTGGCCCCTTTGCAATACAAGCATACCTTTGGGTGATGCATAGCGCAGCTTTTGCGCTACCCGCTAACCTTCTTCTTTGGTGCAGGGTTATTTGTTCGCTTTGGATCCTTTGTGGGAGCAGCTGCATTTTCATGCTTATAAAAACACTTGCCACCACACGACGACGACATTTGTCCTGTTGGAAGTAAGTGCACGGGGTTTTGGCCGTTCCTTCCTTGACATCTTTGAAGGGGACTTACTCTTCCCCTTCCCCGTCTTTTTGGGGGTACCAGATCTTGACTCGGTGTCTTTGACATGCTTATAAGGACTGTCTTTTCCTTTTTCACATTTTCCGTCCCTAAACTTGTAGCAAATCTTGTGACCTTTGGCACTCTGGCTGCGACCACGTGAACGTCCTCGATCACCTTTGCCGCGATCTTTGCCCCCCTGATCCGGTGCAGCGGGCTAGGGCTCTTCAGATTGTTTGTTCTTTTCCAAGATTCGGTTCCTGCTTGATCGGAGTCTTTCTCTATCCAATAGATCACAAATGTTTGGAAGCAAATAGGCATAGCACTTTTGCTCTGATTTTTCAGGAGCTCTGTCAAATGCTGCAATGTCATATTTCATGAGTTGGCATTTCCTGATTTGTCTGAGTAGGAAATCTCTAAGAACCAAATCATCGGGTGCAGCTTCCATACCAGCAATGGTGGCATCCCAACGGTTAAGAAACCCTCTAAGATCCTCCACTGACTCTCCCGTTCTGACAACTCCCAATAAGTCCTCAGACGTCCTGAAATAATCTTCAAACATCAAAAGGACTCTCCTACCTCTGACTTGGATCCCATTCTTTGACTTTCCATCTTTGAAATTGTGAATTTTGGTTGCTAGATCACCTTTGGCTGAGCCAGTTAACGCTGCCGACAATTTTGTGTCGAGAGTGATGAATTTGCCCGGATCTTGCAGCTTCTCTTCCAACTTCTCCCGCGAGGTCTTGTTGTCGAAGACTTCATTGAGCCAAATCCTAGCCTCGTTGGGCTTGTCTGAACACGACTTCACCTCGTCCCTGACATGGTTACGCGAATGGCGGTAAGCCTCAGGGGTAGGCATGTCGTTAAACTTGATGGTCTCTCCCTCTTTCGTGCGGGGCTTTTCACCATCTGCGTCCTTTGATGTCAATCTAGTGATGAGATCCAACAGCTGTTGTCCAGAAAGAACAGCACCTATGTCTGCAGTCTTAAGTTTGTCGGGTTCGCTTGCTGCAATGGTAGGGCTACGCACACTAGGTTCTTGATTCACATTTTCACGTGGCGGTCTCTGCACTGGCAATGGTGGAAGTTGTGGAGAAGCATCTGATTCTGCTGGGGTAGTAGTGAACAAACTATGCAACTTCTCCCTTGCATCAGCAGCTAGATTGCTCATTGCTGTGTTTGGCATGGGTGTTGTGTTGCTCCAGCCTTCGCACTTGCAGAACCTTTTGGCGTTGCAAACATCTCCAACTGGATCTCGCCTGGACCTTCATCAAGTTCCTCGATGTTAAGGTTCGGGGTGTTCTGCTTGTTCAACCTTTCCATGAGTTCATCTACCCATTCCTGGAGTTGAAAGTTGAGTTCAGCGGCTTGTTCTTCTTGCCTGTTGCACTCCTCCCTCATCTCCTTGATCACTGCCTGTTCCTCATAATTGAATTCCTCCATTCCTTTTCTTGCATACTCAACCGTTTCATCTACGATCTTTTTGCAATCAGCCTCTAGGTTTCTTGAGTTCAGAATGCCTGCTTTCGTATTGACTGGTCATATGAGAGACCTTTTGGTTTGCCCTTTGCTCAGCTTCCAGTGCTACAGAATTTGCGGCGTTCTTCAGTCTAGCGTTTGCTTCACCGCGTTCTTTCCTCAAGTTCAAAATCTCCTGTTCAGCTACAGTGCGAGACATCATAAATCCGGTGAGTTCCGATACCATCTGTTCATGTCGGCTGTCAGCTTCTGCACGTGGCTGGGCGAGTTCATGGAAACATGTCTGCTCAACATGTCGACCACAATTTTCGTAATCTTGTTGCAGATGCTGTACCACTTGATTCATGATTTGGGTGTGCCTTTCCTGAGCTTCACTTCTAAACAAATCAATGTTTGCCTCCAAACTGGAAAGACGCCTGAACTGGTTGTTGGAAGATTCCTTCATCTACAGTCATGGGCGTGGGATTTACTCCAGCCGGGTTTGTGGCCAGAGCTCCAGTTGTGGTAACTATCGAACTCGTTGCTGGGACAATTGCACCTCCCGTTCCAGAAACATCACCAGTTGGTCTCTCCATGGCTTTAGAGACGGCTGATAACCTGTATTTTCAGGTTTCAGCAAGGGTTATCAAGTTATAGCCAAATAGACTGATAAACCTGAAAGTGGAAACTAAAATGTCTAAAATCCGTTACGCTAGCGGCTGCAAGCTTCTTTTTGCTCGAGCCGCAATGCTATTAGTCAGCACTATATTACAGGGTGTTTTATGGGCATGTGCAAATATATATTGTAGGCCCGGGGAGGCATTCTTTAGAGGTCCGCGAGCCCGAGGCTGTCGGCATGCTAAGTTTCAGTCCGCCCGTATATCCAAGGTGCTAGCCGCCAGGTATATTCTGTCACTTGCTTGTCATTTGCTTTCCCTCGTGTTGGTCTAACAGATTCTAACAGTCTAACATCAGCAACCACTGTTGCATCCAAGATTCGCCTGAAAGAGTGGCTTGAACGTTGTCACAAGAAACATCACCGGTGCAAAAGAAGCTGCCGACATTCTCGAACGTTGGACTTTTGCAGGTAGGTTGATTCTGACCCACTTCCCGCGCACAGCAAACATCATTGACGCGCCCCGTGGCGACGTCAGGATCTGCCAATTTGTAGGTCCCGGCTTGTGAACTGGGGCCGACTGCATTGTCCCCAGTGACGCACATGGACCCGATATTTTCCACATTGAAATCAATCTGACAGGAATTCTGTCCACTGCACTCCAAGGGGCTAGGTGTGTTCATCCTGAAGAAGTTGGTATTTGATGCAGATTGCGAGTTACAAGAAAGCTTGCCGCCGCACTGCAAAGTGCCTTGTGTGTCAGGGAAATCTCCAATTGGCTGGGGGTTGATATCGGGTTCACACTTGCATGCGCTCATGGCATTACAATCGCCAGTGTTGATCTCGGCAACGCATGCAGGAAGCGTCGTCGTGGTAGTGCTGGCGACCTAGTTGATTGCGCTGCTGATCAAATCACAGTTGGAATCAACATGTTACCAGGCTCTGCGCCCAACTTAATTCTCCCATTTCCGCATGTTCCTGGGGCAATCACTCGCCAATGTAGTTCATAATAATCACATTGCCAAACTGATGTTCTCCAAAAGTTTTTTTACATGAAATTGAAATGATCGCCATTGATTTTCTTGATTCCTTGCCAAGGAACTTGGAAATGTAGCAACGCAGTTGTGTCATTGCCAAGCCTGACAGCGAAGTCAAACAGACATCCTTAAACAAATTAAGTTCTTAAGCTGCACGTGAGGGATATGTCCAGATTCATGCGGATTTCAGACAACAATGAGGATAGATGCCGCATGATGCTGCGATAGCTGCGATGGGCTGCCTTGCCTCGCATTTCCAGGGTCGCCAGGGTTGTTCGAGCAAGTCACACTGGAGCACGTCTCCTGGAGATGCAAAGCACGTCTCAATTCGGCTGCGTGGATGAACATGACAACCAAACCTGACCCAAGTTTTCTACGTTTTCTAAGTCTCCGCGCCGACGTCTCCAGATCTTTGTTTCACCTATATTTTGGGGTGGGAAACGTATGGAAACGGTATTAGCAATCCTGTGTACCAAGGAGCATTTGACTGCTCTAATCCAAACAGTTTGGACATGGACTTTGCGAAACCAAAACTCGTGTCAGCAAGGAAACCCACGACCTGCGAAATCACAAACAGAGGCATCAACAGCAATTGTACCATCCACGCCCTCGACATATTGTCAAAATTTGCCGAAGCAATCGTTCGTGGAACAATTTGTTTGTCTAGTGAGCCCAGGCTGACAAAAACACTGAAGGAATGTTTCTGCGATGAAATCAGGCAAACAAAGCAAACAAAAAAAATATATATAGCGACACACTGAAACTTAGAATGCGATTTTGGAAACGGCGCGCTGCAAAAAAAAAAACGGAAAATGCCAAAAAGTGGGGTCCTGCACTTTTTTGTGCCCCGTTTTTCAGTCGAGGCATCTTAGTAATGAAGATCTTAGAATGCGTGCCCACCGAATTGTTTATCATATAATTGTCCTTCTATCATGGTTTTGAGTGGGAATTGTCAGGTCGCCGCGCTCTAGTAATGTAGACTTTGAATGCCGGCATCTATCTTGTGATTTTCACCAACAACGGATGTTACTTTTCAAGTTTTACCTGCATTTTGGACACATTTTGCATTTTTTTTGGGATGTTGGTTCTTAGTCAGGTTTCATCGATCTATTGAAATATGACCACATCTAAGTTTGATCAGAAGATTTTACTTCCATCATGGTTATGGCATGTTTTGACTGGGTATTTTCAGGGGGATGCGTTCTAGTAATGTAAATTTAGAATGCCGGCATTGATTTTGTGATCTTGATGAAGGATGCCATTTTTGGGTTTCTTACCCAGCATTTCTGACAGTTTACAAGCATTTTTGGGCCCGTCGCCATATATTCCAATGTATTTTCCAAAGTTTGTACATTTATATATTATATATACGGTAACTACATTTTAATATGCGGATTTTCAAATATACGAACTGGTATTTTAGACTACCTCCGGGAAGGTTTTCCGTGGCCCACCTGGCCACTTAAACATACGGATTCAAAATATACCAACTGGTATTTTAGACTACCTCCGGGAAGGTTTTCCGTGGCTCGCCTGGCCACTTGAAGATATAGGTTTTATAGAAGTTTTATGGATGATTTATGGATAATGAATGCAGGATTTATGGAGGATTTATGGAAGAATTATGGATGATGAATGGAAGATTTATGGAGGATTTATGATATATTTATGGAGGATTTCTGGAGGATTTATGGAGGATTTATGCAAGATTTATGGAGGGTTTATGAAAGATTTATGGAGGATTAATGGAAGAATATGGAAGATTTATGAAAAATTTATGAAGAATTTATGGAGGATTTATGAAGGATTTATGGAGGATTTATGGAGGATTTATGGGGGATTTATGGAGGATTTATGGGGAATTTATGGAAAATTTATGGAAAATTTATGGAGGATTTATGGAGGATTTATGGACAAGTTTCCGAATTTTGATTTTTGAATTTAGAATGCCGCCAAAAACCACTGAAAACCAATGAAAAAATCATGAATACCAAAGAAAAACAACAGAAACACCAAAGAAAACCAATGAACAAAAATAATGATATATATATATATAACTAAAATACAACAAATGAACAATTGTGTCTGACGTGTCAAGTTGGCCACAACGCATGCAAGATTCACAGCTGCATGCATCACACTCTGTTTTGTCGGGGGACGTGCAGCTGGCTAGGCCTTGGGTCTGGCCCAGGAAGTTGAAAAAGGGTCGGGTGAAGAGTAAGCCTTTGCTTGGGTGGGCGCTTTTCAACTTCTAAAAAGAAAAACGGCGGACCCACCGCACCCTCCCTTGAAAAGAAACGTCTCAGGAACAACAAGATTCATTGTGTCCCGAAATCAGAGATTTCTAAACTTGTCAAGTAAGACAATTCGATGATTAAAATCAGCTTCATCGTCTGACGTGTCAAGTTGGCCACATTGAAATCTGCTCCCCCCATTGAAATCTGCTCGGCCACCTTCCAGAAAATTAACCAGCTTCCCAAACCACTCAATTGCAGAAGAGGATTGATCCTTATCTTCAGGTAATAAAGGATGAGGAACAGCACGAGAAGGATAATCGCTCACATTCGCTTCGGTTGGTACTCTGGCGTACCATGTGCTGAGATTGTTGAACGCCTCACGCTCCAAATGGTATCTCATCAGAGCTGTAGCGTGTTGCCTCAAGCAAGAACCTCTTATGAGCGAAAACCTGGCACTGTCGTTGTCACCATAACAAATCTGCAATCCATCTCTCATGGGTTCCGCCCAAAAATCCAGCGCTAAGATCGCTGCAGTAAGCTCCAGCTCATAGATAATTGTTTGTTTCAAATTGGCACCAAACAATTTGCATTGCTCCAAACTCAAAGGAAAACCAAACCATCCAACACATGTATATTCATCATCAAATAAGGCCGCTCCGATGCCGCCTGTACCAAGTTCCGGCTCAAAAGCCGCATCTGTAAAAGCTACCCATTGACGCACTGCCCGTGCAGAGACAATGCGCGGGATCGCCAGCTCCAATCGTTGTTTCATAACCAGAAGTCCCAGACTAAGTTCATGGGATAGCTTGGAGGTTCGCCCATAAGCGTGTTCAGCCAATTGCTTTAACACCAATAGGCCAAGGCGGCCATGCAAAAAGGAATCAGCAAAGCCCAATTTTCCTCTCAAAACCAAGGCATCCTGTTTGCATAGCTCTCCAGCCTCGATTGTCGAAGACAACATAGCTGTAAGATCCTGAATCCGTTGTTCAGTGTTGCATACCGCAAGGATACGCTCGCCAGAGCTAGCCAAATCGAACTGAACGCCAAGCGCCTTGCAAACTGAACAAAACTCGTTGCCTTTTTGCCATCGCGGTCGAAATTCCAACCTGTCAGCAGGAAAACCAGTTCCATTGAATTCTTTGCAGATTCAACGCTGTTAGGAAGCGACGCCAAGATGTAGTCATCTTATATAAGAACAAACTCAGGTGAAGGAACATGGGTCGCATGTTATAATGACAAGTTGCAACGCAATCGTCGAAGGTAGTACTAAAGCAACGTGAATATGTTTATACGCCGTGGTATATACATATATATAAATGAGACCAAACGTCTCCGTTGAAACATACGCGATCGGAACGTGGAAAAATCAAAAACAGCATGAACTCTGAAATGAAAAATGATGGCTGACGCACGGATTGAAAGCTGCCTGTTTTCCTCGCGCTCTGAGTGTCTGGGGCGTTAGCACCATATGTTTTGCTGAGCATGGGTTGAAGACAGTTAGAGGGATCTGTCTTTTTGTGTGAATCTCACATTTGTGAGTTGTCGCCACAAGGTTGCTCAGTTGGTGTCCCCCCCCCAATAAGGGTTTGGGAGGGTGGGCCGAAAAGAAATGGTTGGTGGAAGAAAAGGTTTTTTAACCCTTCCCTACCTCACCCTTGATGTGTAAAACGCCACACAAGTATTTATTCATGTGTGGTTCCAAGGGACATGTTTTGTGTTTCAGGTTTGAAAGGTTTGCAACGAGGTTTGGAGAAACGAAATAACATGCAAGTTTCCCAAACAAAAGGTTAGTTGTTTCACACTGAGTTGCAAAATTTATGTTGATGAATTTTGCACTGTTCTTTTAAAGATAGTGCTCTCACTTCGTGACAGCACTCATCTTATATAAGAACAAACTCAGGTGAAGGAACATGGGTCGCATGTTATAATGACAAGTTGCAACGCAATCGTCGAAGGTAGTACTAAAGCAACGTGAATATGTTTATACGCCGTGGTATATACATATATATAAATGAGACCAAACGTCTCCGTTGAAACATACGCGATCGGAACGTGGAAAAATCAAAAACAGCATGAACTCTGAAATGAAAAATGATGGCTGACGCACGGATTGAAAGCTGCCTGTTTTCCTCGCGCTCTGAGTGTCTGGGGCGTTAGCACCATATGTTTTGCTGAGCATGGGTTGAAGACAGTTAGAGGGATCTGTCTTTTTGTGTGAATCTCACATTTGTGAGTTGTCGCCACAAGGTTGCTCAGTTGGTGTCCACAGATTGCTAAGAGCAGCTTTGTAAGGCGATTTTTGTAAGTCGATGACCAGGTCCGTTAGCTCGCGTGAAGCATCAAGAGTTCCTCCATCTTTGGGGTCATACTTTGTTAAGGCCTCTTCCAACCTTCCACGAGACGGCAAGTCTGAGGGGTTGGAAAAGGAACAAACTCTTTCAGTCCAAGAAAAGGTGGGCCATTGGAGCTCCAGTTCAGCCATGATGCGCGTCAAGACTTTCATAGAGGGAGAAGAACTATTGGCTTTGATTGCACTCATTCGAGCTGCTTCGTTGTCTATCCACTCAATGACTCTTCTGCCCTGGAGTTTCTGACGCAAGCAAAACCTGACAGAAACCAAAGCCCATAACTCAATTTGGGAAATGATTTGGTCACCGGCAGTTTCGATCCATAGTTCAACCAACGCTTGAGGGACTGTTACCACATATGCCAGTCTAGAAGAGCCGCTAACCACGACTGCCCCAGCAGTGGCTACGCCATTCTCATAGGCCCCATCAGTGAATATCAAAACAGGTTGGCATGGCTTTGACATGGTGTGCACCCTGGGTCTTTGCTCGCGTAGCATGTCCTTTGCGTAGGAACACAAGCTCGCAACTTCATCAGGGTTTGAGAAACGTTGGCCATCTGCAAGTGGCATAAAGGACGAAACAAGATGCTTGAGACCGCGGCCCATGTAAAAGCTGACAGCAAAGTTAAGGAGTCCCTGTATCTCACTGGCCCGTGCTGCCGTCAGAGTTCTTGACTTCTCAACTTCCTCCAACATCTTGCAAAGTTTCTCGATGCGGCTGGCTTTGTTGGATATCGTGAGAGTTCCCAGCGACAGCTTGTCGAGCTCAAACGTCACTCCAAGGAGGTCGAACACGTTTGCAAAGTTGATTGCCTTATCTCCCTCCTTAGCATGCTCCCATCCTAGCAAGTCCAACACTGCACTGAACGCGAGGGTTAGAACTTTGCACCCCTCTGCACGCTCGAGTGTTGGAAAGTCGTCAAAGTAATGCGAAGTGATGCAGCTGAGCATCTTTGAAACCAGGAACCATATGGCTTGGGAGACCCGCACAAAACCAGATACGCTGCCAGTGCAGCCAAAGGGCAGTGATATACTCTTGTAGAATCTCCACGTACCCTTCACAGGGAAGCCTACCACTGCGTTAGGCTGGTGGTCCGGCATCACTGCCAGCTGCTTGTAGGCCTTGCTTAGGTCAAACGTTTTGCCAAGCCACTCCATCGTTGTTGCACCAAGACATGTTGAGGCCCGCATCATTTCAACGACCATTGCGGCAGCGTAGTCTACATCTTGCAGTTGAAGTTTAACAGTTGAGCTGTAAGCAGCGTTGACCGAGCTCTGCTTTGCGTCGTCAATGACTCGCACCTTGTTGTTCGCCCCCTGAAAAAGGACAAATCTGGGGTTGAGGCTCCAGCTCTCTGTCCCCAGCAGCACCGTCATCTCAGCTTCAGTGTAAGGACCTTGCAGGAACCCTTTTTCAACTTCGACCGCTGTAGCCTCGATCAAGGCAGACTCTTCCAACTGCGTCAAGCGTCGTGAACCAGCCATAATGCCCTGTCGCCGCCACATGGCCGATTGGAAAAGTTCATCTTCAGTCATGCTTGCCGGCACCAACTGCTTTTGGTACCCATTCGGCGGCGGTTGCAGCCCCACCAAAGGAACTCCATGCTTTAAGAGGTTCACAACATCCATATCCCAAAACTCAAACTGCGAGAGGAGGCGCTCAAACAACAAAATGTTTTTGGTCCGCACGCATCTGCGCACGTCCGGGTGCATGGAATCCTTCAGTTCATTCTCAGCCGAGCTCAGTTCCGTTGACATTTTCCGCATTTTGAAGACCGCTGCTAGCCTCTCCTTGGCTAACTTGGTTGGGCATGTATGGACAACCTTTTGGATGGCCTGCTTTGTGACCGGGTGCAGCACTGACTCATTGTCCATGGGGTGGCAAACCTCTGCCGCTTTCTTCAAAAATTCTTCGGGGCTGTGCCACACACCGTACTTGAAGGTTGTTCTGGGCCTTTTATTTGGAGTCCCCTGGTCGTCGAGCTGCTCAGTTGTTCCTGCCCCATTTGAAGGAGGAGCAGCAAGCAATTTATATGCTTCGTCGGACACTGGGGTGTCTGAGTGGACGTAAGTCTTGTACTCTGGGATCAAGGGCTGGTGACGAATTGTTTGTTGTCCCATGTGCAGCTTGAGCAAGTCTTTTAGCCGAGCGGGGACTTGTGGTGTTATCCCCATGGTCTTGGCCATTTGAAACACGCAATCGGCCATTCTATTGCATAACAAGGCCGGATATTCTGCCTCTGCTGCAGTGGGAAACGCAATTCCCTGCTCAGTTTTGTAAGGCTGCCATGAAGCATGAGCATGGTCTTGGGGGCAGCTGGCCTCCAATGTTGTAAATAAACCACGTGTTGCAAGTAGTTTGGTCCTCTTGTCCCTGGCACTTCCATGCGCACATGCATCGAAATAAACGCTCTCAAGGTCAGAAAACCAGTTGATGAAGTCAGCGTTGTGAGTTGCCTTGACAAGTAGTGCCAACAGTGGCCACAACCAAGATCTTGCTGGGTTTTCGATTGATAACATGCAGCCCAAAGCCATGCAAACTTCTAAGATGCGAACGGCACACTTGTACAACTTGTTGGCAAGGTCCACTTTCAACTGATCGACCTCCTTGAGGTTTGGTAAACCAAGCAGGTGATCAGCGTCTCGCAACGGAGGTGGGCCCATGTGGCCACCAAATTTCAATGGCATGGGTTTCTCTCGGGCCCTTGAGCAAGTTCCACATGGCAAACCCAGGTGGATGTGACACGGCTTGCAATGGCGCAGCATGGTCTCCAGAAGCGCCACTTGTTCTGAATTCGCAACATCCAAGGTGAAAACTTTGACCTTTGGCGCGTGTCGATTGGCAGCGTGGTCAATTGGATATACTTGAGAGCCACGACGCCTCAAAGCGTCTGACAAACCAGCTGAGCCACAACAAATTTCAAAAGTTGTGGCCTCCAAAGTGAAACCGTTGTTGCACCGGTCAAACTCAAGTCAGTGGGGGCACTCATTGCCCGGGTGCAACTTGTGACATGCCTTCTTCCAGCACATGTGATACCCAACCATGCAACGCTTCCCTGGCTTAACTTTGGCTGTGCATCGTCCCACTTGCCAACGTTTGCACAACTGCTTTCCATCAACAAAAATTTCGCAATCATCCGGAACTTGAATACCTGGTGTTGATTTCCCTTTGCCCTTTGATGTCTTACCTTTTCCATCTGTTTGGTGAAAACCCTTTCCTTTGCCAGTCGGTGCAGCATGCTGTGAAAAGTCACCCCTTGAACCGCCTTGACCTTGTAGTGGTGTGAGGTGCTGCAAGACTTCTGGATGTTCACAAAATTTAATAAAGGAGACATCGAATGGCTTGTCAACTCCAGTCTTAGGTTGCAACTGTCCACGCGTGTCGTTTGAGATTTTGACCCACAATGCCTTATCCGCATTAATGGCTTGTTCAACGCTAATGTACTTGTAGTTGTTGAGCGGCGCCTCATTCATCTTCTCAAACAACTTTTGAGTCCACAAGTCCAGCACTGAGAACGTTGCAATCCCTGCTAAATCATAAGCCAAAGCACGTCTGAGAAAGGCCTGCCTTAATTTGTGTTCACCTGTTACGTTCACGTCATCCAATCGCTGTTTCTTGCTCAGTCTCAAGCCTCCAGAATTGTCCAGCGCAAGTGAAGTGTCAACCTTGGAATGCAATGCCTCGTCATGCCTGGACGAACACTGGTTCAGCTCAATGTAAGTCACCACATTATCTTCCAACTGCTGACACACTTTATCTATCAAGGAGTGTGACGGTTCACTTTGAGGGGTGAAGCTAAGGCCAACCAAACGATCTTTCTGTTGCCTGATGCGATCCATTTTCTCAGCCAACGGTAAGACTCTCGCCTCGCTTGATTCAGACCTATCAGCACGTGATTTCAAGTCCTCCAGTGACAGCGCATGTGCCTCGAAAAACAGCCTTCGGTATCTTGTTATCGCTGCCGCATTTGGAGCTGCACCCAAGGTTGTTGTAAGGAAGTTTGTCAATGCAGTGTCATCGGTCTGACCAGGCTGGAACGTGCAGCAGTAAGCGTATGTAGCATAGCTGTTGATACCTTTGTCAGACAACACCTCTACGTCATCCTGCTCAATTCCAAGCTCAATTGCACGGTTTTGGAAAGCCACCTCTGAGTCAATCGCCATCAGTCACTAGGCGCCGTTTTGGTATTGAAACAAAACAAAGGAAAACATTGTTTGGAATCCTAGAGGTGAACGTGCTGTCCTTGGTCTGAAATTCAAGAACATGGCAACATGTGAATGACACCTCAGTCTTACGAACATGTGCAACTTAGACGAAGTCTGTTTGGAACATCTGGGTGCTGAGCCGATGCAATGTGACACTGAAAGGATGAGTTGAGATGCCTGGCCTTGTTAACCTCTGCCGCATGGAGCCATGCTAGGCATTGGGTTGCCACGCGATGTCTGATCTCATGACTCAAGTGTGATGCACTGCCAAACGCTCAGTTCAGTATCCAAAAGAAAACGTCGATGCATGATGTTCGGTATTCCATTTAAACTTCTTATGACTGATGAACAAAGGAAAAAGGAAAAGAGCGCACAACGAAAGCAGCAATCATGCTTCGCATCTCAAAACGGGCACTGCCGGGGCGAGTCATTGCCGCTAAGGTTGATGGCTGCCATCCATTCGATGTTGCCTTTCAATCTCCATGCCCTGCCGCTCTGTATGCATGTGAGCAATTTGCGCAGATCACTGCCTCGGTCGCAGTCAGGTCTTCAGCTGTGGCTTTTCTGAAAGATGCTGATGGGTGACGTCCACACCAAAAGGTTTCATCCTCGCTTGCCAACAAATGAATAACTTTTGAATTGCTATTGATCAAGCACTGATCTGCTTCCATGTCATCAGCCTCTAGCCGCTTGTAATTTGGCCTCTGAGCCACGCTGTCGTGTTCTCCACCTGAAGACGCCACCGATGAAGCGTCGGACTCGGCTTCTGAGCCGCTGTCATCATCTGCGCCCTGACATTCCAACATTGTTGCATAAGCCAGTTGAAACAATCTGCTAACTCGAGCTGCATCTGGATCAAAAAGGCCATCCTTGATCTTATTGAACATTTCGTGCAGTTTCTTGCAAAGCCCAATTTGATTGTCTCTTGAGTAAATCATGGCTGAACGATATTGTGCATGGACATGATGTCCCAGGGCCAGCTGCTCGTCTGCACTGAAAAGAGTGCTCTTAGCTGCCCAGCTAAGAAGTGTGGCCTTGAGTCCATGGACGGTCAAGGCCCCTGCTCGGTCGGCGCCAATGTGAGGTTCTAACAGCTCCCTCAACCCGCCAGTTGCCTCTGCTGTGGACATACGTGAATCAACCCAGTTGTGCGTGCTCTCTGACCATGAGTTCAGGAAATGGTTCCAGCCATTAGCATTGCACTCCTGTCTCGCATCCATCCAGAAGCGACCCCAGTGGTCATCACCTGTGACTCTTCCCAAGGCTGTGAATGGTAACAACTCCATCTGCTGTTCTTTGCCTCGAGATGACTTGTGCTTTGATGTCAGGGCCTCCAAAAGGAATATATCACCAGCAGCCGATGAGTCCAATGAAACAATGTACATCGAATCATGCCAACGTGCTGCAGCAGCAAAACTGAAAAGAAGGTGTCCAGCAATGACCCTACGGTGAAGTTGCGTGTCAGCCATGCAGATGCTCTCCAGTGGTGAAATTTCCGCAACAGTAAGCACTTCAGCTGGCTTTCTAATTCTCTTTGTCATGTATGCTGAGTGGGCGGCTCCCGTCACCCTGGCGCTAAGCATGTCATCTAGTTTCACCTGTGTGAAGCCTAGCAAGGTATCAGCAAACCTCAACGCTTCAAGAAGTTGAGACGGTGTTGTTGAACCTGCTCCTGAATCTCGCAAATCACAGATGTACCTGTATAAGACTTTTTCATCTTGGCAAAACGGTGAGCCAGAGCTTAGATTTTGAAGCCAGCATGAGAACCGCCACAAAGCATTACACCTCTTCAAAATGGTGCCAGTTGCCTTTGGTGCAAAAACATCCATAAAGATTTGGCTCAACTCGTCATCTGGGCATAAGGTTCCAGCGAAGCTTCGAAGTGATTGTCCAAGCCTGGTGCAATCCAAGTCCAACAAAACCATAGTCTTGAACCTTGAAAGGGCCAGGTGTCTGTAATCGTCCTGAGAGGAAACCAACCTGGAAGCCTTAACGCGTTGAACGGTCAATTCTGTCTGTTGTATCGGTTTCGGAATTGAACTGCTTGTTGAAGAAGCTGCAATGTGGTCTGAGAGTCCAACCAAAGACATTCTGCTATGTCGTTGCTCCCAAAAAGGCTTGGGCTTTGAAAACAAGCTTGCCAACGGTCCTACTTGCCAAGGTTGTTTAACATCTGAGATTATCTTGTGAACCTGCATGGATGCCAGTACATCTGCAGTGCGTTTCACTGACACATTCTCTGAGGTCGCTGCAGATGGCTTGACCGTTGCAGTCTTAGGTCTAGGGCGCATGAAAACTCGAGCCCCTTTTTCAACCACCATAGGTCCACTCTCAAGACCAACATTGGCATCATCATCCACGTCTTCAGGCGGCAAACCGAAGAAATCAGGATTTTCATGCAGTTCAACTGACTCCCACTCATTGCCATCATTTGACATGTCAACATCATCAGAAATCTCATGTGACGCAGCGGCACTGATTGAAGCATTCTGCCAGCGCCATCTAAAACCTTTGTGTTCCACAACCATTCCAAGAGCTAAAATCTAGTCACAACTGTGGTACTGACAGCGATGCCTGGTGTGAGGGATGTCAAGCTGACACCAAAGATCGCACCCCGTCACTCCACAGACGTGAAAACAAGTAGCCTGGTTTTGAATTGGCTGCTGTCCCACCTCGACGTCCTGAACGGCTTGTTGCACTTCTGCTGCAGGGGCCACAGGAACTCCAAGGCGGTGAGCAACTTCTCTCAGAATCAAAACTAAGAGGGAAATGATGCTGTAGTTGGATAATCCAGAAATTTGGTCTGCATCCATTAGCCCCCCGTATGCCGAAAAGAAATGGTTGGTGGAAGAAAAGGTTTTTTAACCCTTCCCTACCTCACCCTTGATGTGTAAAACGCCACACACGTATTTATTCATGTGTGGTTCCAAGGGACATGTTTTGTGTTTCAGGTTTGAAAGGTTTGCAACGAGGTTTGGAGAAACGAAATAACATGCAAGTTTCCCAAACAAAAGGTTAGTTGTTTCACACTGAGTTGCAAAATTTATGTTGATGAATTTTGCACTGTTCTTTTAAAGATAGTGCTCTCACTTCGTGACAGCACTCATCATAGAAATTTGTCGTCAGCAGGAACAGCTGTCGAGTACAGATTGTGTACAACATCCTGGCCAGACGAAGGAAGCTGTACACACTATGTGTTGCGCCGAAAGGCAAAGTAAGGAGTTGATAAATTTCAGCTTTGCCACTTTCGCAGTTGTAGATGCAAAAATATGAAAAACACAGATGGTCCTGCCGTATTGGTACCTGTCTGTACGCGCTTTTTAGGTCGTACGTCTTAGCCACCAGAGAGCTTGCTTTGTCTTCAGCAGAACAGCGCCTGAAGAACTCTCTGATGACTGCAGCAAATGTGTCCACCATGTGCAAATCCACTTTGTTGTGAGAGCAGGCTGTATCGTTGATACCTGACACTGAAAAATCATCGATCATCCTTGTTTTGTTTTTCTGTATCAAAGGAAAACGCCGCGACACTACGCCACCAGCAGGAATCTCACTGAGGGGGCCCACTGCCCAACCACGTCTAACCTCCTCTCTTGTCTCTTGCAAAACCTGCTGATCAATCTGCCAATCACCTGATGTTTTGCACGCCGCTAGAACTGCTTGATAGCGTCGAGGGGCTTCAACCAAAAGTTGGGACAAGGGTTAACATGCAAGGCTTATAGAGCTCCTCAAAAGTGTCGCACTTCGGGATGTCACCAGCCAAGGGCGATCCATGTCGCAGCAAATCCAAAACATTCATATCTTCATACTGTCAACATCCCTCACATGCTGTGGCCTTGTCTCTGCATCCAAACGCTCAGATCTGTCCAACTGCCTTGCACGCTTTAGCCACTTGCGGCACCAATCCATTCGGTATTGCACCAATGTTTGCTCGCTCCAACACATGGGCTTTTCCAGCGCCAGCCGAAGGTCTTTTGGAACTGCAAGGCCAATCTTGGAGGGATGGCCAACTTCAACTGCCTTGCTAACAAACTGTTCACAGTCCCAAGGTAAGCCAAAAACCACTTTGTACGGCCAACCCTCTGCAGCTAAAGATTGCTCAGACTCCCCTGCAACCCCTTATCTTGGAGTCTGAAACATAACATCCACGCAAAAACCGTGCATGTTTAGGTACTTCCACCAGTTGCTTGGCTTCTGTCATCACAGTGATTGAAGATGAAAGCTTTCCCATGAGACCACATGGGATGTCTGAAGGTTGCTTGGCAAAGAAAACAGCAGTTTGTTGAAAATCAGGCACCAGGGGCGGAATTTTATTGCCTCGAAGTTGTCGACCTGCAGCCATCTGAGAGTGCTTTGCAGAAAGCAACGGATGGCCCATAATGTCATGAATACAGCTTGGTCGCAACTGAACGCCACGTGATGCCGCCACCTGTAAAACAATTTGAGTTAAAGCTATGCAGAGCTTTCTTGGATATTGTGATTCCTCGGCTGTAGCCCAAACTTTCTGGCCCTGAGCATTGGTAGTGAAGCCCCAACCCAAATGTTTGTGACTTCTATCACAAGCAGCATCCATCTGAGTGATCTCCGGGAAGGAAGCTAGCACCCTGGTCCATTTTATCCCTCATTGATCCATACATGCACGCCTGAAAATCTGTAGCAAAAAGTGAATATGCTCGCATCAGCTCCAGCACAAAAGGTATCACCCAAAGATAAGAGCCACGTGGATTTTCCATGGTTGCCAGCACACCACGTTCCATGCACTTTGCAAAAAGATGGCAAGTATATCTGAATAGCTCATTTGCAATCTCTACCCTTTTGCGATCACCAGGATTCAAAGTGGGTAAGCCCAACGGATGTTCCAAGGACCTCAAAGGCTGAGGTGCAGAAGCCAACTCAGGGCGGGGTATCTCCCTGGCCCTACTTGCTGTTCCACATACTGGCGCAAAATGCGCCCAAAGCAAAAGGGGTGAAGCGAGCCACTGTTCTAAGAGCTCTCTGTCTGCCGGCTGCATCAAATCTAACTGATAGATAGTGCTCCTGGCATTCTGCTTTCGAATCTTGTCCACTGCTATGCCACCAAGTCCATACTGCTTTGCAACTGACGTTAAAACAGCTCCACCAGCAAACACTTCAATCATGAATAACTGCTCAACGTGGAGTCCATTCCAGTCTCTTGCAACGCTAGGACCTAGTCACTTCCCATGTTGCTGCAATGAGTGCGGTTGTTGGCAACGAGGTTCCGCACAAACATGTAGTCCTTTCGGACAACGATCACCTGCCTTCACTGTAGTTGAGTGACTGCAGCCTGCACTTGTGTTGAAAGCAAAGCAGATAGGTTCATTGGAGGCAGTCTTGTGGTATTTCCCTCGCAGCTCCTGTGGCATGGGCGGTGTCTTACCCTTGCCACTTGTTTTTCCTTTTCCTTTTCCCGCATTGGGTTTTCCACTTGAAACATTGTAAGGAGCTGGCCTAGAGGGCCCTGCATTTGAGGTCTGAACAGGTTTGGCCAACGGCGCCAAGTAGAGCATGATGGCTGGGTCGCTTTTCAAAGCAAGCAAGGCTTCGCCCAGGGGATAGGAGCCATCTGCTGCCTCTCGTGTCGAGACACCTAAGGTTGCAAGCCTTGCCCAAGCAGCTTTGTCACAACTCACAACCTGTGACAAGTTTGCTTTGCTGTATCCAGGTGGCACCTCTCTGTGTAAAGACTCGAAGAGAAAGCACAACCAAGCATTGTGCTGCTGAAATGACATAACCCTTGCAAAGGCTAGGGCCACTGCTCGCCTAGTCATGGCATAGTGCAGCTTGATCTCTGAGTCAGTCGAGCACGTCTGTTTGTCATCGTGCTTCAGGATCAAAGAACCCTTTTCCAAAGTCAACTCACGAGACTTCGGTGTACCCTGCACTTCCATGCTTCGTGAAATGCAAATTGAAGGTTCCAGCCACTTGACATTGTTACTGTCAAAAATTGCACAGCACTTATCTAATAGCCCATGCGGTGGCTCAAGTTCACCAGTGATGTCCAAACCTCTCAGCTCCTGACGTAGCCGATCCATACGTTGGGTCCGCTCAGCAAAGGCAACTTTTCGGGGTTGCGTTTCGTCACTTTGATCAACTTGTTGTCGCAGTGTTGCAACAAGGTAAGTATGAGCTTCAAAACCCAAACGTTTCAAAGCTGAGGTCTCAGCTAAGGTCGCAGCCCTTCCCAAAGCATTCTGCAAAAAGTCTGTCACATCTTGATTCTGTATCGGCTGGCCAGGTTGACCAATCACAAAAGCAAGCTTTGAAAGGTTGTCGACTTGAGCTCCAGCTAGGGACGCGACAAATGCTGCATTCAGCCCAAGCTTTGCACATCTCTCCTCGAAGTGTGCTGAACTGTCAAGCAGGGATGTCATGATCCTACAGCGCACGAAAATGAAAGGTAAAAAGTGTTGTAAACCCCAAAGCAAGCCATGACATGCAAGAATCCATGTGCCGATCAAAACATGTGATGCAGAAAAATGAACTGAGCTGGAAATGCAAAAAAGGTTGAACTTGCAATGAAACAAATGCAGCTTTCTGCTTAATGGGGCTTTCCCCTGTGCCTTTGAGCCATGCCGCAAACAACTCTCTTTGACATGCTGCAGCTTTCTGCAAAACATGTATGCAGCTTTCTGCAAAAATTTGTGCCTGTGCACCTGTCGACTTTTCGACAACCCTCATGCGGCATGCAACTTCTTTTTGACACAACTCACGCAGCCTTACGCTTGGCTTTGTCCAGTACGGCATCAAGAGCTCCATTGAGCTGAGAAAGATTTCGAATTCTGTTGCTGTCTTTCGGAAAACACTTCAAGCATTTTGGCCAACGTACTGTGAGCCGCTGCGTCAGCTGTTGGAAGTTTGCTGACATTTGAGCACCACATGCTGCCACCTTCTGGCCTTCAGTCACTTTGTGCACGATTCCACTCTTTCGATGCTTGTAGTATGTCAAGCCCTCTGGCACCACTTCCACAAAAGCATGTGCATCGCGTTGTGGCACACTTGCCTCTCCACAAGACGATGTGGAGCTTGTGCTCTCACTCTCACTTCCGGACGAACTGTCCAGCTCCACCACTCCAGTGTCCACAATCTTCAAGTCAAACAGTGAAATGCTGGAAGTCTGCTCTTCCTTGATGCTCTCCACGTCACCCGCAATATTCACTGCCTCCACAGCAGCATCAACTGCGTCCGATGGTTTGTCAAGCACTGGAACTGGTGGCAAAGGAGTCACAGGTTGAGGTCCAAAAGCACCTGGTCGTGGTGTCCGAGCACAAGGAGTGGCGTATGGGTTTGGTGCCATTGGGTCCTCTTCAAGACCTAACCCAATGCGCACTCTGTGCAACAACATGTTGAGCTTCCGCAATGCCCGTGTTTGCAGGTGCCGGCTGTAAACAACCTCCGACCCTTGAAGTGCTGAAGCATGATGCCCCAGCACTGCACGCACTTCCTTGTCCAGGCCCGCTTTTGCAGCCCACACCAACAGTGTTGTTTTCAGTGAATGAGCCTTGAATTGCTCACAGTCTTTGGTCCCTCGCAGCAACAGCCTGAGCCACTCAGCTGGAGTCGACAGTGGCCTGGCTCCAAAGCTGCCTCCCATGCGAGGAGCTGGCAACAAAGGTCCCAGCGGAACCTTGAACAAGTCCAAGCCAGCCATCTTGTAAACGTCCATGAAAGTCTTGACCCACTCATCGTGAGTCACTCCCATCCAAGGCACCACAAGTGGTAGGTATTGCTCTCGTCGAGCACCCACTGCTGAAGTTTTGTGCTCTGCTGTGTACAAGGTCAAAAAGCCATTTCTGCCCTCTTCAGCTACGACATGATGAATGTATCTCAAATCTGACCATCTGGCACGTCCGTAGATACAAACCAGCATGACTCCTGCTCCCAGTCGATCTGTCAAGCAGGCTGCACCTTCCAGAACTTCATGTAAGCGCTGTAGATGCTGCAATTCAAGTGGTGCAGCCTGACGAGTGGGGCCCTTCTGAAGTCACTCAATGGCGGCAAAGCCCAAAAGCCTTCGAGACTGTAACACTGCATCTGCCTCTCTGAGATCCAATGTGAACTTCATGAATCGCACTGTCTCCAGAAAAGCTGAAGCATTTGTGAAGCCACGCTGATTTTCAAATCTCAAACTCAAATTCCGTAAACAGTGAAAGAAAGACCAAACATCGTTCTCTGAAAAAGGCAATGGACTGATCTGGATTTCCCGTGCATCAGAGCGCAACTCAGCATGCCACTTGAAGTATCTCCGCAGGCTTGAGGCACGCTTCAAAAGAGTCTGAGGACTCTTTATGCCGAAGCTAGCTTTAAGAGTTTCAAATGCAGCTGTGCCTGAAGAATCCAGTTGCATATCCCTTGCTAACTGCTCCCCAACGCCCGAGGCGTACCAGCTACACGAAAGCATTTCTAACCATTGTCCACAAGCAAGTTCACGCAACCTGTTTTTGTTTTCGAAATAATCCAAATCCTGAACATTTCTAACAGCCTTGTCGTAGCAGGAGTCCAACGGTGGCGCACTGCTGGCCTCTGCACTGTCAGCTGCAGCAATGATGTGCTCCATTAAGCCACTGTCAGGTTCAGGCAGGCAGTTCACGGGGAGTTCAAGAAAGGTTGAATGCCCAAAAATGTCAGCAAAGACTCCTGTTTCCCACGGCAATAGCAAACTGCTAGGCTGCTGTGAAAACTGTGCAAAATTTGCCGCACCTCCAAGCTGCCACTGAGCATCTCCTACAGAAGGCTGAGGTCCAGGCATTGGTCGGTCAAACACCGGCACTGCGTCAGGTTCCACACTGGGACTAGGGCACACTGATGCATCATCTGATCTCTGAAAAGTTCCGCCGTTCTCAAGGGGCCACAGTGGTGACTGATTGTCAAAACCAAACATAGCATCACCTTCGTAGACACCACTGCCATGCTGTACCATGTTAAAATGTTCTTCAACACCAAGCTCGCCTACAGAAACATCCAACCAGTGACCGAATTGTTCCACATCGTCAGTTTGTCCAGTTGCAACATCACCTGTAGGTCCAGACTCATCCATGGCATGCCCCCCAAGTCGCTTTTCAACTTCTAAAAAGAAAAACGGCGGACCCACCGCACCCTCCCTTGAAAAGAAACGTCTCAGGAACAACAAGATTCATTGTGTCCCGAAATCAGAGATTTCTAAACTTGTCAAGTATATAAGACAATTCGATGATTAAAATCAGCTTCATCTTAAAATAAAAAACCAAAAGGAAAAAAGAAGAAAAAACCACTGAAAACCACAAAAAACAAATGAACAATAAGGCCAACAAAAAAACAATGAAAACCAATGAACAACAAAAGACGAAATTGATGACAACCAAAGAAAACATAGGAAACCGACTCAATGACAAATGAACAGCAAGGAGAAACACATGAAAATCTCGTTGTTTTTCCTTGAGCGCAAGACGCCTTCGATATCGACAGATTCTGCACTTGATCATAGCCATTTGGCCAGAGATGCAAAAACATGCAAGTGACTGCAAAACGTGTGTGATACCTATGCCAATCCTCTAGATAAGAACAGATACTACACATGCTCTAACTGCTGTCACATCACTGAAATGTTTCTCACCCCGCCTTTGCACTGGCCTTTGGTCATGTGCAATTTCAAATTGGAGGGTTCCTTTAATCATCTGCTTCTTCATCGCTGGAAATGTCTGTGAGGCTTTGCATCATTTTCCATACTTCCAATCTCTGCCCTGGTCTTTCGTTGCAGAATCGGCACAAGTTTACCATGATCTCTCTTCGTTCCACATGCTTTAGTACACCTTCAGGATTTCCAGACTCCATCTCAAAACGCAGTTTCTCAGTCAATCGTTGGATCATCCACATTGCCATATGCTCGGGGCTTCGAGGCTCAAATGGAGGAGCCATTTCTTCAGCAAAGAAATCGTCAGGTGGATCTGGAGGAAGCAAGCTCTCAATCTCTGGTTCAAGAGTAGACATGGTGAAACCATTGTCAAGCTCCATCGTCATGAAATCACTAGCCTTGAAGTCTGGGTCATGCACATTCAAAGCACAAAGCACCATGCATGTCTTTCATCGACTGCAAACTTGTAGGAGAAATTCCATCACGCTCAAACGCACAAAACAAATCCATGAAAACTTCGTAGATTGCATGCAGTGCACTGGTCTTTGCACTGTCATCCTCAGCTTCTGCCTCATCGATCAGCTCCAAGCTGCGTTTCAAGCAAATGCAAAGGAAACAGTACACTGCCGCTTTGTTGTACTTGGGTGCAGGGCTGCTTGAAGAAACTGCAGCACTGCCAGACGTGTCTTCTGGCTCTGGTTCTTCCAACATGCTGTGACGTGGTGGCATGGCAATCAGCAGTGAGGCAAACATGAAAAAGAGGATCACAATTGAAACCATCCAACATGAAAGTCCATGAAGTTGCGTGTACAGAGCTGAAAATTGTTATGGTGACTCAGCGTATACAATGGAAGACACCTCTGACACCTATGTTGCATGGAGGGGGGCAGCTGGATGGCTAACGGGCAGAACAGCGAATGACTGACACTTTCTTGGCCAACATACTGGATTCGCTCTTTCCACCACGCCGCTACCATAGGCCAGTGACCTAACCCTGGAGTGTTTGCAACAGTGTCCGCCAGTAGGTCACGGTTGTCAGTGACGAGGTAAACAGTCTGAAATGCTAGGAACTCCGTAGCTTGGCTCACAATCCAGCGATAAAGACTGTGCCAGTCGGGTCCTGGTGCTACCTCAATGCCATTCACTATCTTGATCGCATAGTCATGCCTGTCCGGCTCGCCTGACTTCTTATGGGGATCCCCAAAGCGCCATTGGTGATGGACTGTCTGGTTTAAGCCATACTCAGTAGAAATGTCTTTGTATAGGCCCAGTGCTTCTAGCAGATCATCGAACTGCGCATCAGGGTCAGGTTCAGCCCATGCCTGCTCTGCTTGTTGTCTTGTGAGGAGTACCATGATATAAGATAAGAAGCAACGCCCCGGACCAGTCTGCGGCCAGAGAACGTGCCTGGTTAAGAGGAGGGAAGTAAGGACAAGAGAGCCAGCAATGTGATACCCCTGACCAGTCTGCGGCCAGAAATATCACGCTGAAACTAAGGTCCCAACGAGAAACAAAGTAGGGGAAGAGGGAAGTTAAAAAGGGGGGAAGGAGGAGGAAGAGGGTGGCGCTGGAAATCCGGACCAGTCTGCGGCCAGAAAGACCAGGCACAACACCCAAGGGTGACAAGAGAGGCAAGAGAGCACAAACCAACAAAACAAAAAAGGCGACAGCAGAGGGGGGAAAAGAAGGAGAGCGAGAGCCCAGAAAACCCGGACCAGTCAAGACCAGAGGAGTCAAAGGGAAAAGACGGAAAACGAGCAAAGAAAGAAGAGGAGAGGCAGAGAGGCGGGAAGAGGGGAAGGGACACAAGCCGCCAAACACCAGAGAAAAAGAAGAGAGAACCAAAAAGGACAACGAAGACAAGAACCATTTTTTTCGTCCAACGCCTTCATGGCTTCCGCCAGGTCGTTACACACGTTCAATCGCGGCAAACAGGTGAATTGTAGTTTGCATGCAGGGCTGTCACTTTGTCGAAAGCCACAAAAGTGCCGGTTGTGGACCAGTACGCAGTCCAGAAACTGTCCCAGCGAAAGAAAAGACAAAGAAAAAACAAAGCAAAAACAGCAAAAACACACAACCAAAACAAAAACCAAACAAAAACGACAGAGAGCAGTGGGATCGCCCGTAGCCCCTTTGGCTCAAGGCTGTATCGGCTCAAACCCCGTGGGACTGGGTAACCTGATTTTTAACTCAAGGGGCAAACATCCATCTTGGGTGATTTGCGTGAGTTAATTTTGGGGGCACCAGTATAAAGGGGCTAGGGTAGTACTGCCGTAGGAAGAGCACAAAGGTGCCCGTCAACTTGTTTTGTTTAGAAGAGAGTAAGGGAAGGGGGGGTTTTTCTTTGTTTTGCTAGTTTAAGATCTACCTTCTCGTTTTTTACTTACTTGCACTGTGTCCGTTGAACACACCAGTTTTGAACCCCACTTGTTTAAGGACTCCTGGGGTACCCAGTGTAGTTCTTTTACTGTTGCCCTTGTTGTTGTTATTGACAAGGCTCACTGGGGTACTCAGTGTAGTCTTTTTGTTTTGTTCTTGTTATCGTCTTGTTCCGCCCAGATTGCCCTGCTGGCCTGCCTCTGTGTTGTCACTGTACCCAGGGGTACTCTGGGTTATAGTCGACAACATGAACAGTAACCCTCATGAAACTGTTGAACAGCATGCCATTGAGCTTGTGTCGAGTCTTGGGAAAGAACATCTTTTTGTTGCAAACTGTCCCAGTGATATTGATCCGAACAGATATTCAGGCACTGTGATCACTTATGAAGAAGCCTTTGATCACAGTGATACAGGAGTTGGCCTCTGCCTCTTACTCCCCAAAGCTTATGTCCTTCAGAAATTCATTGACATATGCCTTAACAAAGATATCTCTGTTCACTTTGTTTTCACTTGTTCAAGCAATACCAGCGAATTTGAAGCTTCTGCATGGTTATATAATCTTCTCAGTGATAAAGTTCAACATGTCGGTTTTATGCAAAATCTTGGCGTTACTTTTTGCCCCACAAATAACCAAGAGAAATATCTCATTGCATGCCAGGTTGAACCGTATGCCGAACACTGTCATGTTTCTTGGTCTCGACCCTGCAGAACGCTGGAGTATGTCTTTCCCAGAACTGTTGTTGAACGACACCAGACTATTAGCGAACTTCAGAGCCTGTCTGCAGTTAACTATATTGACTTCAGAAGACCCAATGGATGCCATCGCATATCAGATAAGATTGATGTCACCTCACTCACTGTCCAGATTGCCAATGACTGCCTGGCAGACATCGAGCTTGTTGAGAAGATCCTTCAGCCAACTGTTGACGCTGCTTGGTCGCATGGACTTGCAGAGTGTCAGGTAAAGCATTTCTTTCCATGGAATGACACAGAATTCCAAAAGCATTTTCCACATGGAATCACTATGTCAGTACTGGATTTGAAGGCTTTTCCGAACACCGTGCTTAATGAAATTCTTGTCCAACTAGCCAACCTTAAAGTGAGGTACCATTTCATGAATTACAGAAGACTTGCCATCTTTGGGCCGCCGTCACTGGTCATTAACCTCCACTTAGCCCTTCTTCCATTTGACGTTCATTTACCTATTGGGCCTAAACAGGGTGCTTTCACTGTCCACATGCTGCGATCAGAGCCACATTGCACACAGACCGCCCATGATTATAATCATTTTCAAGTCAAATTTGGCAAGATTGGTTCATTTCAGTATGCACCTGCACAAATTCTATGGGCTGAAATTCCCTCATCAATATGTATGGAGGGTCAACTTGACCAACTAGATCAATCATCTCTGGTACAATTACTAAAACAAAAAGTGGGGGCTGTTAATTTTTCCATTCGTTGGTGCCAGGTTGACCGGTCGCAGCAAAAGTGTCTGTGTTTTGATGTCGAGATTAAACATGAAGACTCTCTACCTCTTTCACTGGATTGTGACTCTGGCCAAGTTGTACTTCAACACCAGTGCCCCTCTGCAGAAGACTTTCGTGCTGATGTCTCCCTCACCGAAGTTGAAACCAGGCGGGATCACTGGAATAAAGTCATTGCTCAACAAATGATCCCTAAAGAAGGCAGAATCATCATCTTTCCTTCGAACCAAACAAGAAACAGTCAGCCAAAAGATACTATGATTTGCGTACCACTGTCATTGATTCTATGCAGGACTTCACCAACATCATTGCCATTGCGTCTCAACCGCCTGCATGGTTTTTCTCGCCGAAAGAGTTGCATATACCCTTGATGGAATGCTTGCAAAAAGTCAATTTTTGTGACAACTCTTTCATCCAGGAATCTTTTGTGACGAATCCTGACACTGTCAAGATTGATTTACTTCATCATGAATTTATCAAGCATAGGGCATAGGGACCACCAGAAGTGGCTTTTTTATCATATCGTGCTTGGTCCAGAACAGCGTTTTCATTTGAAATCTATCC